GCTCTGTGAGGAGGAATGGGCCAAAATTCACCCAACTTATTGTGGGAAGCTTGTGGAAGACTACCCGAAACGTTTGACCCAAGTTAAACAATTTAAAGGCAATGCTACCAAATACTAATTGAGTGTATGTAAACTTCTGACCCACTGGGAATGTGATGAAAGAAATAAAAGCAGAAATAAATAATTCTCTCTACTATTATTCTGACATTTCACATTCTTAAAATAAAGTGGTGATCCTAACTGACCTAAGACAGGGAATTTTTACTAGGATAAAATGTCAGGAATTGTGAAAAACTGAATTTGGCTAAGGTGTATGTAAACTTCCGACTTCAACTGTACGTATATACCTCAATTACCTCGTACCCCTGCACATTGACTCTGTACTGGTACCCCATGTATATAGCCAAGATTGTCTTTCTATTATTTTTATTGTTCTCGCTACATTGTTGGAAAGGGCCCATAAGTAAACATTTCACTGTTAGTCTACACCTGTTGTTTACAAAGCATGTGACAAATAACATTTGATTTGATTTGATGTATGAAACTGCCCACTTTATTCTCTTTATGAATACAAGCACCATTGAATTTATTGTAAATTCATTATTGTGAGCTCTAAATGTACAGTAGTTGCTGAATAGCTCTAGTGAATTATTACTGTGTTATTATGAGGGTTGTAGGCTACACTAATCGTTTTAGGCCTGTTTCTCTGGTGTCTGTGCATGGGTCTGTGTGGGTAAAGGTGCAATCTGTGATATTAACTATCAATTTTTTTAAGTATATAACTTCTAAATGCCTCAAAAGCTTACCCCATCCTAAGCAAACATATATTGTGTCTCTGGGTCTATGTGGTTTTTCAATTTTCACCTAAAAATACCCAAATCTAACTGCCTGTAGCTCAGGACCTGATGCAAGGATATGCATATTCTTGATATAATTTGAAAGGAAACACTTTGAAGTTTGTGGAAATGTGAAATTAATGTAGGAGAATATAACACATTAGATCTGGTAAAAGATAATACAAACAAAAAAACATGCGTTTTCTATTTTTATTTTGTTGCATCATCTTTGAAATGCAAGAGAAAGGCCAGACAGTGATGTAGGATTCTAGATGTAATTTAGATGTTGTCCACCAGATGTGTGTGCAAAGTTTCAGACTGATCCAGTGAAGAATTACATCACTACACAATATTTTGTATCAAGTCTGCCAGGAGTTTTCCCAAATGTGCTGAATTTGTTTTCAAGTACATAACTATAGAGAACATACAAAAATGCTATGGTATTACAAAATTTAAGTTTGCACACTCCCAGGAATGTGATAAATGATGGATCATTAGCTTCCCTACAGAAAAGACACTAACCTTCACACATCTAGATGGCCGGGTGGGGTGGGTGTGGAGTCAGAGGTCAAACTGTAGAACCCAGTTCCTACATTTGAAAAAAAAAAAAGATTTCTCAAACAAACCTACATTACATTTTATCTCTGGTACCCTCAGGATGACAAATCAGAGCAAGATTACTGAATGTAAGTACATTATTTACCTTCAGAGGTGAATGTACCAAACCAGTTGCCGTGATAAAAGTGTTTTGTTGTTGTGCACTATCCTCAAACAATAGCATGGTATTTTTTAGCTGTAATAGCTACTGGAAATTGGACACTGCAGTTAGATTAACAAGAATTTAAGCTTTCTGCCCATGTAAGATATGTCTATGTCCCGGAAAGTTGGCTGTTGTTTACAACACCATTCTGTCACATATCGCATACTGAGCAACAACCGTCCCGTATAAGAGACACTGATCCCGTAGCGGTTAACTGGAGGCTTTAGACCACACTCCAGAATATGAACTGAACCAAGCCTTTCCTATTCACTATGGCATTGAGAAGAACAGTGCTCTGCTCTCCTCTCATTGGGACTGCTGAAGAGTCAGACTGAATCTCTGCCTGTTTGTTTTGATCCGTGGGTTTTGATACTCTTATCACACTTGAGAGGCAGCTTCATAAATTCACTATTTGTCAAATAAATCAATAGTTCCCATTAGCTGAGGAAGTTGTGGAGCTGCAGCAATACTTGAGGGGCAGCGGCCCCCCTTGTTGTTTAGATGTGTGTTTTCTCTCCCAGTGAAGGCGGCGGCAGAGACATACTGCATGGGGATGGGTGGCTGTCTGTTGATCCATCCAGACAGCTCCAGCGGTTGTACTGGTCTGGTTGACTGGTCCTGGTTGGGAAGAGGGAATTCATTTGGACACTAGTACCAAACTCAAAAGCCTTTAGCACTGATTCTTTACTGATGTTAAGCCTGGCTAGCCTGGCACTCTTTGTTTTATGATGTTTTCAGGCTGTTCACATTAGATTTTTGCCATTTCCTGGACATTATGATAAATATGTTGATGAATGGAGCGACAAAGATATTTTAGTTATTTTTCCATTTGTAACACAAAATTGCAATAAAAATGTAATAAATGTAAAAAAAATTGCAGGTTTTGGTGAGGGTCAAGAGTAAGACGTTTAAAGTTTTAAATGCTTTTCTACAATGCTTTTAAAGACAATGGGTCGTTGAGACAAGCTGTTTTTTAAATATCTCAGAAAGGTTTCTGTATCATCAGGGAATCCAGAATAATAATGATAATATGCAATTATCGCCTCCCTGTTTCTTCTGCAGTAACCTCAAGATGAGGTGCTATATGAGTGTTACTGCAAGTGCTGATAGACCCGAAAAAAATTTGATTCAAAGAAAGAAAGAAAAAGCCAAGTAACATTATACATATCTGGGAGGTGTTTCAGTAAGAGCTCTGTTATTCCTTTAGTAGAATTTGACTGAATATAAAGGTTCCATTTCAGAGTGTTCTAGAACATAATGATTGCTGAACATTATCTCTTGCTGAACATTCTCTCATATAAGATGTATTGGGGAATGATGCAGAGCTGGATTAATGGTAATACATCTCATTGATAAGATACAGATCGATCTATGCATACGGCTTAAATGTATTTAAGCTTATAATCCTTGTAAATAGCTTCCGGAAAGGCAAAGTCAGCCTTTTAACATTGACTAAATTAAGTAAATAGAAGCAAAAAAATACATGTTTTATCGCATCGCTGTTGAACCCTGAATGTTTGCTTGTGGTTGTTATATATGGAACAGAGAGAGAGAGAGTCATATCGTATGCTAGTAGCCCCACTAATGAGCCTTTAAAGCAGAAATCATATTCTGATGGCTTTGCCACCCTGCTGTTCGGGGGGGTAGCAGTGAAGTTAGCTTTAAATGCGGAGCGTCTGTTCTGCCTCTCCCTCCCTGATAACCCCCTACAGTAACACCACAGCAGACGGATGGAATAGGGAGCTCGGAAGGTTTTACCTCAGAGGTGGTAACAGTGAAGCCACTCATTAACACTGAATTTACCACTTCGTTAGCGACGTAGCTTCCTGCAGAGAGCAGCCAACACTGGATCATGTCAAATCCACTGAGCATACATTGTAGACTACACTATGGTTCCGTCCCAAATGGCACGCTTTTCCCTATAAAGTGCTCTACTTTTGACCAGAGCCCTTATCGGCCCTGGTCAAAAGTAGTGCAGTAAATAGGGAATAGGTTGCCATTTGGGATGCAGTATATGTCTATCAGCTTGGGCTACAACAACCCTGCCTGGACACTTCACATTGTACCAAGCTGTAAAATACATCACCTCACCTCTCTGTCTCACAGCAAGGCTGGGAAGAGTGTTAAATATTAGAAGATTTTATTCATGTATTTTCACTCTTTTAAGTGGCTTGTTTAAGGATTAACATGTTCAACAGTTGAGTCTATAATACATTTAGCAATCTGTCGACTGTTGATTGCTGTTTATATGTTTGTTAGTGATGGGGGGAAAAAATCGATACAGTTACATATTGTGATATTATTTTGGGACGATATTATATCTGTATCTGACTCCAAGTATCGATTTGTCGGCTGTACCTGCAGCAAAACTCTTGTATTTTTCATCCTATAGCTTGGTGTCCATCTTCTTTTTAAATAGTTTTCAGCATTTTATTTCTCTGACTGATCAAAACGTGTTTTCTCATGCTCTCTCTTTTCTCTCTGCATCAGACCTATAGTGAGCAATATGTTTGAAGCATGAAATTGCAATTAAAATCGCAGTATCAAATCGCAATACATATAGAATCATGAGAATCGTGGGAGTCACAATACATACCGTTTCGGCACCATCGTGTCGTGATAATATCGTATCGTGAGGTCCCTGGCAATTCCCAGTCCTAATGATTGTGTGTGTGTGTGTTTGTGTGTGTGTGTGTTCATGGGTGTGTGTGTGTTTATATCTCTCTATGTATGTGTATGTCTGTGAATGTGTGTGAGACAGACAGATTGTGTAGCCCGACGTATGCCAATTTGTCAGGATTGGAGCAACAACAGTGTCGTGCTGGGAACCGTGTTGGCACCATCACAGAGTGCTAAGACTGAGTATGATCTCATTGGAAGTCTACTTTGTTCCCATGGAAATTGGTCAATTTTAGCAGGCGTCTGGGAGCGTTCGGGGGAGGAACAGGAAGGTTGTATTCTAGAGGTGTGCTATGGTAATTAAGAGGCCTCACCGGGGTATCTGGGGCTAACAGCAGGGTTTGTTTTGAAAAGAAGTGGCGGACGAGGGTGTTAAGAAAATCATAATGCAGCACCAGAGAGCCGAGCAGAAGAGTACTGTGGATGAAACTCTCATTGTGTGGAACAGTTGGGGAGAAAATAGGCAGAGCTGACACTGAACACTGACTGATTTTCTGTGTGTATAAGGAATAATAATTGTTTGTTATTCAACATAATATTAGCCTGCATTTTGACTTTGTTGTGGGTTGGACTGTATATATTTCCATTTGCCACATTTAGACTTGTTTTAATCATCCATTTTTAATCGCCTTTAGCCCTCAAAACACGATATAAATTATTGAGTATGTTTTAAGCTGATTTGGTGGTTTTTCTCTATTTCTCTCTTCTCAGAACATACTGGTGAGATGGCTGATATAAAGCCAAATGCACAAGAAGACAAAGAAGGAGATGTGGTGGAACCAGTGTGTGACAGCTCCGGTGCCACTCAGGAGCCATTACAGCGTCACACGTCCTCCCTAAAGAACAATGCTGCAGGGTTGTCAGAGCAGCTGTCCTCTGACAGACTCCCAAACCCTTTAAATGGTGCACAGCCCAGTCCATTTGTACCCAGCAGTGTCCCTGCTGTTCCCCACACAGCCCAAGCACCCCATTCACTACCTTCAGTAGCACTTGTTAATGGACCTGCTTCACACCCTAACTCAGAGGAGAGCTGTGGCCTGAACAAAGACAGCACAACGCCCAACACTGTCCTGGTGGAGGCCCAGGACGCCCAACTACGGCAAGCAGGGAGGGACTCAAGCCCTCAGGTGTTACCGCCACCCAGTGAGCTTCAATCAGACGCCATGAAGAACCCAGCAAGGCTAGGGCCCGTTCTGAAAACACTAGCCACCACGCAGCCAGGAGCCAACAACACATCGCCATCTGACTCTGGGGAGAGTGAGGCTGAACTGCCCTACCAGGCCTCTGACACCACCTTGTCAGGCCACAGTCCACAGCCACACCAAACGCCAATTAACCAAATATGGACGGCTGAGGGAGTCAAGGCTAGAGCTAGATCTATATGGGACTTAAACACCACAGAATCCTCTGAGAGTTCGTCGGACGGTTCTGACGGGACTGACGCACTACACTGGGATTCTCAGAAAGAGCTCATACGGGTGTTGTGGAACAATCGTAACGTTGACAGCAGCTTAGAGACAAACGCTGCAGGAGTGGGAGTGATGCCTCAGCTTACCAGCCAAAGACAGAGGAAGCGTAAAATACACCTGGTGGGTACGTCAGGCTCTCCTGAAAAAGTTTACAACAGCAGCTCAAATCACACCTACAAAAAATGGCATATTGAAGAGGAGGATGATGATGAGGAGGATTTTGACATAAATGAAGAGGAATCCCCCTGTAAAAAGGATGATGTACAGGCTTCTGTGAATTCATGTCAAGAGCATCCCAGTGACAGGCCTGTAATCATCAAGAAACTGATTGTAAGAGCAGATTGCCATGAAGACAATCACTCTGACTCCCTCTTTAGTAGAAAGCCCAAGCAGCTAAAGACAGAGCAATCCGAAGAAGAACCATCGTTCTTCCCATGCACAAAGTGCAATGTTAATTTCAAGGAGAAAAGGCATTTGCATAGACATATGATGTATCATTTAGATGGGCATAATCATCAGATACGCCACCACGAGAACGTTCCACGGCCTTTTATATGCAGGGAGTGTGGGCGTTCGTTCCGCGATCGCAACTCCCTCCTCAAGCACATGATAATCCACCAGGAGAGACGGGAGAAACTCATGGAGGAGATCCAGGGACTCAACAAACTCCGAGACGAAGGCAGGAATGCCAAGCTGCAATGCCCGCAGTGTGTGTTCGGGACCAACTGCCCCAAGACCTTCGTCCAGCACGCCAAGACACACGAGAAGGACAAACGTTATTACTGCTGCGAGGAGTGCAACCACATGGCCCTGACAGAACGGGAGCTGGAAGCACACCTGTACGCGGTGCACTGTGACACACTGCAGTACAAATACAAGAACATGATCAAAGATGAGGAGTCAGAGTTTCCTACAGATAACAATGAAGATAATGAATCACGATCTGTTCTGTTTCACTGTAAAGTGTGCCCTTTCAGCACCCAGTATGAAAATGACCTGAAGAGCCATTGTGAGCTAATACACCAGTTTTGTGAAGATGAATGTGGAAGTCCACCGTTTAACAAAGCACCTGACCATCAAGATCAATATAGGCTAGCTGACCCGTCCAAGAAAGCAGATTTAAAACTCCTACAGCTGAAGCAAAAGTTCTGTATTAAAAAGCCTGCTTTCTGGAAAAGAGCAGATTTGCCCCTTTGGTCTGGTAGTGTAGCTGACTTTTACACGAGAGACAAAGCAGACGCACAGAAGTCTTACAAAGATCTTTCTTCCTCCCAGTTCAATTGCAGTCTTGTCAGCTCAACAAACAAGCTGTCACCATCTGTGTGGAGGAGTGACAAGCCAAGCAAATTATCTCCCAAACCAACAGAGAAAATAGACGTGACAACAGGTCTCCCTTATGTTGAGGAAGACAATCAACAATACGACCATGTCGTTTCAGGAATCTCAGAAAGGACAAAATATCCCTCAAACGTCGATGTGTTGGTTACATCCAAGACAGCTAAACCAGGCCAGATGCTAAATCATAGCTATGACTCTGACAAGAGTCAGGGAGATAGCAACAACTTGACCTGCAGGAAGTCAGAGCCCCAAGCTGTTACCCAAAAGTCTCCATCCAAACGAAAAATGTTCACTCCCTTCCGCAACACTGTGGACAAGGTGGTTGATCATGTTTTGCCAAAACTGAACCCAAAGTTAAAAGAGACTACCACTCCTGAAGACACAGAAGAGGGAGATGATGATTATGAGGACACGTATGACTTTAGTGCCTACACCAGCGAGGCTACAGCCAACTTCCTGGATAGTAGTGAGAATGAGAGGAACCCCTATGCCCGTAGCTACTTCATACGCAGACAGAGGGGTTCTTTTGTAAAAGAAGATCCTGCACCTGCTGCTGATGTCGTCCATTTTGAAAAGAACGCCGCTCAGGCTGACCACCATTTAAAAAAGACTGAAGTCAAGGAGGGGGAGTATGACAGCGATGACATACAGAAGCTTATCATCAAAGAGGAGTGTATAGAAAGCTCAGTGTGTGACGATCCTCCGGAGTCACCCACCACCACCAACACACAGAACCAGAGTCTCTCCTATGAGTATGACGTCTCCCCTCCGTTTGGGACAGAAAGGAAGTCCTGCCCCTACTGTCCTGCTGTGTTTGAGTCTGGGGTGGGCTTGTCCAATCACGTGCGAGGGCACCTGCACAGGGTGGGGCTGAGTTATGATGCTCGCCATGTGGTGTCACCTGAGCAGGTAGCTTCACAGGACCGACAGCCACGCATACGCAGGAAGATCCCCTCTGTGGCACGGAGGATCAAAAAAGGTGAGCAACTTATTACATTTTCCCTGTCTTTATTCAATGACTTATTGTTTTCCTATTGTACTGTAATAGGGTCATCTGTAATCACACGCTAACTATATTTGTGACTGCTTCTTTCACAGTCAGGTGTGTCATGTTATTATTTTATAGATAGTGTGTAATATTCAAAGTTACCACAAAGTTGCCTAGTAATTTACCTAGATCGCTCTGGATAAGAGCGTCTGCTAAATGACTAAAATGTTAATGTAAATATAGATAGTGTGTTAAAACCTAACCTTTTTTTAATCTTCATGTTACAGCTGAGAAGCCAGAGTCTCAGGCAGAGCACACCTGTCCCTTGTGCTGTGGCTGGTTCGACACCAACACGGGCCTCTCCAACCATGTGAGGGGCCATCTAAAGCGGATAGGGAAGACCAGCACCAGCACCAGTAAGAGTCCAGTGTGTATCCTTAACGAGCTGCTACAGGATGAGCAGGAACACCAGAACATCCTCCAGACTCTCAACAGGTACTGTAAACATTTCCCCAACAAGTTACTGTTCACACCTTTTAGGGATGTAATATAATATTCTATCCTATATCAGGTATATATTTATTTTGAATTTGTCTTCATTTTAATGTATTTTTCATTATGTCTACTTTTATGTCATTGTACTTTTTCATGTATCTCTCTGGCTATATGTTGTGACTAGTGTATCCTATATCATTGTTGTGTTTCATTTGAAACCTGAACAGGAAGCAGTTCCTCTCTCGACCAATCATCTCCCAGAAGTTCATTGGGAGTGATGGGCTCTTCCTGACACCCACAGGGATCCCAGTGAAGATCCAACATGGCTGCCAGCCGGGCCAGGATGGCAATTCCACTCCATGGGGGCCCAGTGCAACTACACCCAGGGAGGAGGGAGTTAAGAGAGATGAGTTATTTTCTGAGAGGAAGAGTATAGAGGTACAGTTGTTGTGTTGTATTTTGGTGCTATGTTATTTTGTGTGATGTACTTTTACTCTTAGTTATGTTGTTTATAATTGCTTTATTTTTTTTTATTCTGTAAGTGTCCTTGTGTATCTTGAAAGGCGCAAGTAAAATGTATTATTGTAATGAATATTATTATTATTATTACAGATACGAGGGGTCAGGGAACCTTCCCAGGGCACTTTAGTAGAGCTGCTGAGGAAGAGGAAGTTGGACAAGGAGCAGGAGCAGCTGAGGGATAACAGCAGATCGTATGAAGCAGATAGGAAGCACTTTACTGTGACCAAAGAGAGGTTTGAGGAGAGACAGAACCAACAGGCCAGTAACCTGGAACCACACTGGGCCCAAGGTAAGCAGATTCACAACTCATTTCTATACACATCAGAATATCAGCATTTTAGAGCACTTTCAGAACTGTTTTAAAAAATATATATTTAACCTTTATTTAACTAGGCAAGTCAGTTAGGAACACATTTTTATTTACAATGACGGCCGACACCGGCCAAACCCAGACGACGCTGGGCCAATTGTGTTATGAGAAAGAGGTTGAGATTGTAACATTTCAAAATTGGTGACATCATGGTAAGGTTGAACATTTTTTGCAACCAGATTTTTTTATTTTTTGAACAGTGGATAAAATGACCTAGATAACCAAAATATGACATTTTCTGTTTTCTGCAAAGTAACAGAGTTAAAAACTATAGAGTTAAAAACTACAGAGTTACTTTGCCTACCAATTATATTTGATTTAATGGTAATGATTATTGTGGTGCAACAAGTCCCCTCTTTGTGACAGCAAAACATATATGACATATGAAGGGTCTGTTTCAACTGATGTAGAATCAAAGAAGACAAGAAATCCGGTTAAGCCAGATAGATGATGGATAGAAGTGACAGACATCTTTATTAGCTAAACTGGGTCACCAGTCTGTTCTTTTCACAGTGTTCTATCATCATTCATAGGCTTGATCAGTTTAGTCCAAAAGTATGATTATTTTAGGTGATCTTTGGAATAGTTTTATTGAGTGCAATGATACAGAGTTAAGATAGTAGTTTGCCCTCCAATTACAGTATATGATCAGCTTGCCATAATTAAACATGAACTTGTCTTGTTCCGCAGCTGTTTTGTGTTTTTTACTACCTGTACAGCTTTTCATTATTTACAGGCGCTCATGTTAAATCACAACATTTCATTCAAATTGAGCTTTATTAAATATGTATGTGAGACGCATCAGCATACCCTAGTACTCTGTCTGTTCTTCTGTCAGCAACCTTGAAGTCACCAGGAAAAATGCAGCAGAAGCCAGGCTAAAAAGGAAAATAAATATAAAAAGAGAAAAGTTCACGATCAATTGAATTATTGTAACGCACACAAACATAATAAATGTCACCAAATTGGCTTTGAAATTGAAATTAAAACCTGTCACGTCCTTTCGATATGGTTCTGGAAGCACATCAGCTGTGTTTACACACCTTTGTTTAATAAGAGTTTCCGTCCGTTATGCAGAAAGATTAATAAGTGTCCATCTGAATTCTAATGTTTGGCCGTTCTGTGGCTGACATTGTTGAATGTCATAGTTACTTTTTACAGTATAGCTGAAAGCTGAAACCTTAAAGGGAGAATAGACTGACTCATGTATTCAGATTTAATCATCTAACTAAGGCTTTTACACCATTTTGCTGTAATCAGTGTTATGTTAAATGGAGATTTAACACATACAGTGGGGAGAATACTGTATAATATGTACTTTTAAGGACATTAGTTAATTAACCAAGAAGAGATTCATTTTGCACATGCAATTGTTACAAACGATTTGCAGGTAATTTAAATAACCTTTAGTAGCTTGTCATAGTTAAAAAAACACCTCCGTAGCAGATGTTTTCCCCCCTATTAGGTGTGAAATGAATGGGAAGCTGTCGCTATCATTTTCACACCACTGCCAGTAGCTTCAGGAAAGCCTGCATAGAAACTTGGTGTGGGCTTGTCATCCAATCAAATCTGCTCTAAAGGGTGTTCGGAGAGACCTTTCCTAATCAAATATTTTAACGATTTAGCATGCTCTAGATGTAGCCTGTAGTGACATGCCAAACCATTGTAATTCATGTGCAATATTGACACAATCAGCAAAGTATGAATTTCTTAGCATAGCCTTAATCAAATTCTAAACCCCAAAATTGTCCCAAACCCTGCGTGAATCTTCTGCTACAGGTGAAAATATGCTCCCTGGAGTCCTTAGATTGTGATAAACATTACTCTCAACAACACATCTCCAACTGCAGAGTGCAAAACAGATCTTTACAATATGAAAACAGATGGAGAGAGAGGTGATGGCACTCAGGGAATAGTAGTTTTACTTCATGTTCATCTCTATGTGCTCTGTAGTCACTTTTAGACATATTTCTTCCGATTTTTCCTTACAGACCTCAACTCACCTCCAGATTATATTTGTCAAAGACACTCATCAAAGACCCTGAAACCAAACAATTCATTTAGATGTAATGCGTGTAGAAGTTGAACTTTTTAAAAAAAGTGGGCAGCATCCAAACAAAATGTCTCTAATGGAAGATAACTGTTAATGAAGTAAAAAACAAACAGAGCGTGGTAATCCGGAGGCTTAGGGGCATTTGAATAAAATGCTATACTCTTGACACTATTTCAAAGACGTTCCCTTGCAAGAAAAGTGTTGTTAAGGAGTGTTTGGAACATATTTTACTTGTGTGTGCTTTGCTTTCTTTTGAATTTTATCTCTTTCCCTTTCACATGTCTCATTTTCCAGAGAGAAATGAATCTAATAAGAAGATGTGCATTCACTGTAACACAACCTTCCCCAGTGCTGTTAGTCTGTCCAATCATCTTCGCGCTTACGCACGCAGGAAGAGGGTTGCCATGTTGGAAGGAACAAGTAAGTTCTCTAAGCCTGATCTGAAATTACAGTATTGAATGTTCCTTGTAGAAAATGTACAGAACATTACATCATCCCAAATGGCGTCCTATTGCCTATATAGTGGACTACTTTTGACCAGAGCCCCATAGTGCTCTGGTCAAAGGTATTCCACTATATAGGGAATAGGGTGCCATTTGGGACACAACCTGTGACTCTCTGTCCTGGTGTCAATCAGTCTTCAGAGTTGTACGGAGTAAGTCTGTAGTAAGTTGGTCTGTAATGAGTTGGTCTGTACTGACTTGGCCTGTACTGTTTTCCAGCCTATTCCTGTATACAGAAGAAGCCTAGGTTGAGGGCTGGACCAAAGAAGAAACTATTCTCCGCTCTCCCACCTGCTGTTGAGGAGATGTACAGACTCACCTGCAGGTGTGTAGGACCACAACAAGCTTTTCTGTCACTTGGCTTTTTCGTTGGCATCTTGATTTATTGTGTGTTTCATCCTGTGGCCACAAGCACCAATATATTCTGGATTACCCTTTTAATACTGTGAAATGGTCATGTATCGGTTCTAAAATAGTATGTGGACACCCTTTCAAATGAGTGGATTCAGCTATTTCAGCCACACTGGTTGCTGACAATCTCTATAGACAAACATTAGCAGTAGAACGGCCTTACTGAAGAGCTCAGTGGCACTGTCATAGGATGCTACCTTTCCAACAAGTCAGTTCGTCACATTTCTACCCTGCTAGAGCTCCCCCGGTCACCTGTAAGTGCTGTTATTGTTCCAAACTGCCTCTGGAAGCAACGTCAGCACAGGAACTGTTCGTTGGGAGCTTCATGAAATGGGTTTCCATGGCTGAGCAGCTGCACACAAGCATAAAATCACCATGCGCAATGCCAAGCGAAGGCTGGAGTGGTGTAAAGTTCGCCACCATTGGACTCTGGAGCAGTGGAAACGCGTTCTCTGGAGTGATGAATCACGCTTCACCATATGGCAGTCCGACTGACAAATCTGGGTTTGGCTGATGCCAGGATAACGCTATCTGTTTGGTGGAGGAGGAATAATGGTCTGGGGCTGTTTTTCATGGTACGAGCTAGGCCCCTTAGTTCCAGTGAAGGGAAATCTTAACTCTCCAGCATACAATGACATTCTAGACGATTCTGTGCTTCCAACTTTGTGGCAACAGTTTGGGGAAGGCTCTTTCCTGTTTCAGCATGACAATGCCCCCGTGCACAAAGCAAGGTCCATACAGAAAGGGTTTGTCGAGATCGGTGTGGAAGAACTTGACTGGCCTGCACAGAGCCTTGACCTCAACCCCATCGAATACCTTTGGGATGAATTGGAACGCCGACTGTGAGCTAGGCCAGATCGCCCAACATCAGTGCCCGACCTCACTAATGCTCTTGTGGCTGAATGGAAGCAAGTCCCCACATCTAGTGGAAAGCCTTCCCAGAAGAGTGGAGGCTGTTATAGCAGCGAAGGGTGGACAAACTCCATATGAATGCCCATGACTTTGGAATGAGATGTTCGACGAGCATGTGTCCACATACTTTTGGTCATGTAGTGTATCGTATGAACAGTGTTGTAATAATAATAATAATATAATATGCCATTTAGCAGACGCTTTTATCCAAAGCGACTTACAGTCATGCGTGCATACATTTTTTTTTTGTGTATGGGTGGTCCCGGGGATCGAACCCACTACCTTGGCGTTACAAGCGCCGTGCTCTACCAGCTGAGCTACAGAGGACCAGGTTGTCACCTCAGATGCTAAGTAGTACGGGTGTAATCAAATCAAATCAAATCAAATCAAATTTTATTGGCCACATGCGCCGAATACAACAGGTGCAGACATTACAGTGAAATGCTTACTTACAGCCCTTAACCAACAGTGCATTTATTTTTAACAAAAAAGTAAAAATAAAACAACAACAAAAAAAGTGTTGAGAAAAAAAGAGCAGAAGTAAAATAAAATAACAGTAGGGAGGCTATATATACAGGGGGGTACCGGTGCAGAGTCAATGTGCGGGGGCACCAGCTAGTTGAGGTAGTTGAAGTAATATGTACATGTGGGTAGAGTTAAAGTGACTATGCATAAATAATTAACAGAGTAGCAGCAGCGTAAAAGGATGGGGTGGGGGGGCAGTGCAAATAGTCTGGGTAGCCATGATTAGCTGTTCAGGAGTCTTATGGCTTGGGGGTAGAAGCTGTTGAGAATTCTTTTGGACCTAGACTTGGCATTCCGGTACCGCTTGCCGTGCGGTAGCAGAGAGAACAGTCTATGACTAGTGTGGCTGGAGTCTTTGACAATTTTGAGGGCCTTCCTCTGACACCGCCTGGTATAGAGGTCCTGGATGGCAGGAAGCTTGGCCCCAGTGATGTACTGGGCCGTACGCACTACCCTCTGTAGTGCCTTGCGGTCCGAGGCCAAGCAGTTGCCATACCAGGCGGTGATGCAACCAGTCAGGATGCTCTCAATGGTGCAGCTGTAGAATTTTTTGAGGATCTGAGGACCCATGCCAAATCTTTTCAGTCTCCTGAGGGGGAATAGGCGTTGTCGTGCCCTCTTCACGACTGTCTTGGTGTGTTTGGACCATGATAGTTCGTTGGTGATGTGGACACCAAGGAACTTGAAGCTCTCAACCTGTTCCACTACAGCCCCGTCGATGAGAATGGGGGCGTGCTCAGTCCTCTTTTTTTTCCTGTAGTCCACAATCATCTCCTTTGTCTTGGTCACGTTGAGGGAGAGGTTGTTGTCCTGGCACCACATGGCCAGGTCTCTGACCTCCTCCCTATAGGCTGTCTCATCGTTGTCGGTGATCAGGCCTACCACTGTTGTGTCGTCGGCAAACTTAATGATGGTGTTAGAGTCGTGCCTGGCCATGCAGTCATGGGTGAACAGGGAGTACAGGAGGGGACTGAGCACGCACCCCTGAGGGGCCCCCGTGTTGAGGATCAGTGTGGCAGATGTGTTGTTACCTACCCTTACCACCTGGGGACGGCCCGTCAGGAAGTCCAGGATCCAGTTGCAGAGGGAGGTGTTTAGTCCCAGGATCCTTAGCTCAGTGATGAGCTTTGAGGGCACTATTGTGTTGAATGCTGAGCTGTAGTCAATGAATAGCATTCTCACGTAGGTGTTCCTCTTGTCCAGGTGGGAAAGGGCAGTGTGGAGTGCAATAGAGATTGCATCATCTGTGGATCTGTTGGGGCGGTATGCAAATTGGAGTGGGTCTAGGGTTTCTGGGATAATGCTGTTGATGTGAGCCATGACCAGCCTTTCAAAGCACTTCATGGCTACAGACATCAGTGCTACGGGTCGGTAGTCATTTAGGCAGGTTATCTTAGAGTCCTTGGGCACGGGGACTATGGTGGTCTGCTTGAAACATGTTGGTATTACAGACTCAGTCAGGGACATGTTGAAAATGTCAGTGAAGACACTTGCCAGTTGGTCAGCACATGCTCGGAGTACACGTCCTGGTAATCCGTCTGGCCCTGCGGCCTTGTGAATGTTGACCTGCTTAAAAGTCTTACTCACATCGGCTACGGAGAGCGTGATCACATAGTCATCCGGAACATGCATGCTTCAGTGTTGCTTGCCTCGAAGCGAGCATAGAAGTGGTTAAGCTCGTCTGGTAGGCTTGTGTCACTGGGCAGCTCACGGCTGTGCTTCCCTTTGTAGTCTGTAATAGTTTTCAAGCCCTGCCACATCCGACGAGCGTCAGAGCCAGTGTAGTACCATTCAATCTTAGTCCTCCAGACTCTTTGTCTGTTTGATGGTTCGTCGGAGGGCATAGCGGGATTTCTTATAAGCGTCCGGGTTAGATTCCCGCTCCTTGAAAGCGGCAGCTCTACCCTTTAGCTCAGTGTGGATGTTTCCTGTAATCCATGGCTTCTGGTTGGGGTATGTACGTACGGTCACTGTGGGGACGACATCATCGATGCACTTATTGATGAAGCCAGTGACTGATGTGGTGTACTCCTCAATGCTATCTGAAGAATCCCGGAACATGTTCCAGTCTGTGCTAGCAAAACAGTCCTGTAGCTTGGTACACATATTCATACCGTTCGGTACGGGGACCTCGGTCCGGTCTGCTCTGTGAACCCTAATGAATACATAAAAATATTTATGCAATAAAAACACTAGGCCTATAGGCCTCTGCCTATTGAGTAAATCAAATAACCTTTCAGGCTATTCCGTTAAAACAACTAAACCCTATGCGCACGTTGTGATCAAAATTCTAATCCGAATTGCTGCATTTCAAACTGTCCTTTTGTGAGGAACTAGTTCTGTACGATGGTGAGGGGTTGGGTCGATAAACCAGAATTGGAGTATTCTCCATCATCGTTGAAATCTCCAGTTTGGGAACATTTTTGCTTCCCAGTAGATTACAATGGCGATGGACAGAGAGTTGTGGATAAAAGGTTAACAGTATGTCGCCACACTCAACAAGAATAGCCTATGCAGCTGCCAACACCTCAAATATGTTGACACATTTACACCGACATTACCCCAGTATACCGGAGCAAGACGGAAACGCAAAGAAACAACAACTCAACATCGTCTCCCCTCTGCATTCAAGCTAATTCTGATTCTGACCGGGCCAAAGAAATTACAAGAGCGATAGGTAGGCTATGTTTATCTTTTTTACAGCCTTTGATTTATAGCCACGCATATGCACCCATTCTCCGTGGTTGAGAATAGGGGGTTTCAGCACCTTGTGAAAGTGCTCGAACGACATTACGAACTTCCCTCTTGCACCCATTTCAGCAAACAGGTAGTACCCGCTCTATATAAGCAAACCAAAGCCGAAGTTTTCAATGAATTGGACAATGCACCCTGTGTTGCGCTTATTTAACATTGACCGCCTATCACATTACCCCGGAGTGGTAGATGTACCGTAAGACACAGCATCTTTATGAGAGTCACAAGTGCGCATCTGGTACTGAAGGAGGCAGTTGCATGGTGCGTTCAAACTAAGTGGGAAGTGGGAAGTTACCACATACGACTGGGAAAAAGCCACTTTAACGCCCCTCCAACTGGTATATACTAGTGGGAAACTCGTCTATCATCCTGAGCACCCACATCTCCCACATGGTAACCTCTGATGTCACCTACTAAGGAAGGCTTCTATAACAGCATTTTCAGCAGTAATATGCAACATCAAAACATAATTTGCTTACAAGCATGATATCTGTACTTTTAGTTTATGGTTGACCCAGCTTGTTGGCCATTAGCCAATCAGCGTTTCTCAACAAGTTCAAATCACATGAATGCATCCAACTGGTATTTCCGACTTCACAACTGGTAAATTCCCACCTCCTACATGGTTACAAACGCAGCATCAGAGTGGCAACTTGAGAGGCCCAACATAACAATCCGGTCACAACAGACAATGCAAGTAACATTGTGAGTGCTGAACATCATTTTACCACTGTATCGAAACTGAACCGCAATACGTACCGAACCGTGGGTTTGGTGAACCGTTACACCCCTACTAAATAGTATCCATATGTCTGCAAACCAAACCTAACCTAGCCTACCCTAATTTAACCAAACCTAACCTAGCTCTCTCTCTCTCCCATGCAGATTCTGTGACCTTGTCTTCCAGGGTCCTCTGTCCGTCCAGGAGGATTGGATCAAGCACTTACAAAGACACCTCATGCACACCAGTGTCCCTCATACAGGGGCTGGCATGGTAGAGGTCCTGGGACTACATAAAAATATGTCCTCCTTGCCCCCCCAGCAGCACCTCTGTCTGGAGCACCCAATGTCCAATGAGCACCCCGCGGCCCACGAGCCCCAGGAGCGCCATGAGCACCCCTGCTTGGAACACCCCTCTCCTCGTGATCACCCCTCGCCCCAGCAGGAGCCCCCCTTGCCCAATGAGCACCCCAAAACCCATGAGCACACTGAGCCCCATGATGAGCGCCTCTTGCATCATGCATATCCCTCATCCAATGAGCATCCCAGCCTGGAGCAGCACACGGCCACGCCCCCTCTGGAGCTTCTTCCAGTGGCTTCCTGAGCTAGAGGGTTGTTTACACATTTTCACTTTAGATCTTTATCCTGCACATGTAAATATGGATAGATACATATAAATATATATAGAGAGATAAATACAAATATTCTAAAGCTATATGTTTTTTTTTATATGCACATGGACCTACTAGCCCTTCTCTCTATTTTATAAGACCTGTATCTATACTATACTGTAGATGATAGATCTTGTTACTTAGACGTACAGAAACGTTACAGAATTTACAGTTACAGAGAATTCTACTTGAGAGGCAAAAATGCCAACAACATTCGCTGAAGCTAGAACAACGGTCAGTTCAGAACCTTGTATCTCAACTTTTTTAACCTAAGTTCTGTTACCTCTTCTACGTTTAAGTGAAGTTTTACCTACAGATAATCTTGCCATATTGCAACATGGACACATGTTAAATGTGTCTTCTTGCTTCCTTCTTTGTACAGTTTAGCAGTCAGTCAGAACTTTGAACCCATTACCAAAAGAGACAACTCACACCTCAGCATTGTGATAATGATAAATGCTTTGCCCATTAATTTGAGGCTATTCTCATTGACAAACATTTAAGGAGGCAGCGCGACAAGATTTCAATTTACACAATATGTACACTACCAATAAAAAGTTTGGACACACCTACTCATTCAAGGGTTTTTCTTTATTTTTACTATTTTTTACATTGTAGAATAATAGTGAAGACTTCAAGACTATTAAATAACACATATGGAATCATGAGGTAGTCACCTGGAATGCATTTCAATTAACAGGTGTGCCTTCTTAAAAGTTAATTTGTGGAATTTCTTTCCTTCTTAATGCGTTTGAGCCAAACAGTTGTGACAAGGTAGGGGGGGATACAGAAGATAGCCCTATTTGGTAAAAGACCAAGTCCATATTATGGCAAGAACAGCTCAAATAAGCAAAGAGAAACGACAGTCCATCATTACTTTAAGACATGAAGGTCAGTCAATACGGGAAATTTCAAGAACTTTGAAAGTGCAGTCGCAAAAACCATCAAGCGCTATGATGAAACTGGCTCTCAAGAGGACCGCCACAGGAATGGAAGACCCAGAGTTACCTCTGTTACAGAGGATAAGTTCATTAGAGTTACCAGCCTCAGAAATTGCAGCCCAAATAAATGCTCAACATCTCAACATCAACTGTTCAGAGGGTACTGTGTGAATCAGGCCTTCATGGTCGAATTGCTGCAAAGAAACCACTACTAAAGGACACCAAAAAACATGAGCACTGGACATTAGACCAGTGGAAATGTGTCCTTTGGTCTGGGGTCCAAATTTTAGATTTTTGGTTCCAACCGCCGTGTCTTTGTGAGACGCGGTGTGGGTGAACGGATGATCTCCGCATGTGTAGTTCCCACCGTAAATCATGGAGGAGGTGTTATGGTGTGGGGGTGCTTTGCTGGTAACACTGTCTGTGATTTATTTAGAATTCAAGGCACACTTAACCAGCATGGCTACCACAACATTCTGCAGCGATACGCCATCCCATCTGGTTTGGCCTTAGTGGGACTATCATTTGTTTTTCAACAGGACAATGACCCAACACACCTCCAGGCTGTGTAAGGGCTATTTTACCAAGAAGGAGAGTGATGGAGTGCTGCATCAGGTGACCTGGCCTCCACAGTCCCCCGACCTCAACCCAATTGAGATGGTTTGGGATGAGTTGGACGGCAGAGTGAAGGAAAAGCAGCCAACAAGTGCTCAGCATATGTGGGAACTCCTTCAAAACTGTTTGAAAAGCAGTCCAGGTGAAGCTGGTTGAGAGAATGCCAAGAGTGTGCAAAGCTGTCATCAAGGCAAAGGGTGGCTATTTGAAGAATCTCAAATATAAAATATATTTTGATTTGTTTAAAACTTATTTGGTTACTGCATGATTCCATATGTGTTATTTCATAGTTTTGATGTCTTCACTGTTATTCTACAATGTAGAAAATAGGAAAAAAAGTAGGTGTGTCCAAACTTTTGACTGGTACATAAACAATTTACATTACATCCTTGCCTTACCTTTTTATTGTGGCTGGCAACGTCACATTCTGGCTCTGCAGCTCCAAATTTACGTACAAATCAGTATCACAGTAGTCACTAACTAGCCAGTAACCTTGCAAACTATTCAACAATGCAAGCAACTTTTCCTCTGAAACATATTAGCTACACTTGAATAATGCAACGAAGTGTATAGACAATTCAAGGTTTTATTTTCTTGTTCATACACACATTAAAAGTAGCTTGCAATACAATGACACAGATAGCATATCAAACATTTGTTTTACATTTTAGTAGACGCTCTTATCCAAAGCGACTTACAGGAGCAATTAGGGTTAAGTGCCTTGCTCAAGGGCACATCGACAGATTTTTCACATAGTCGGCTTGGGGATTAGAACCAGCGACCTTTTGGTTACTGGCACAGCACTCTTAACCACTAAGCTACCTGCCGCCTGAACGTTTACCCCTCTCATTCAAATATAAAAGTACAGTTTCAGTGCATTAAAGTTACCTTAGAACAAACCAGGCTTAATTTGATCAATATCATGGAAGTCATTATATGAGGTAAATGCAAAATTGCGACTGAAAACGTTTTCCCTCGTGAGTTGATCAGCTTCTTGCTGCATGCGTCTTGCCTGGATTGTGACTCTGAGCAGCCAAAGCGGGAAAACACAGTTGAGCTTCCCTTTCTTAAAGCTACGGTGACAATTTCAGAATGTAACAGGCTGTTGCTGCAATTTCAGGTGAAAGCTCAATAAAACAAGTCTCAAATATAATGAAAATGTCTATACATTTCAGCTGTTTCATTTCAGCTGCTCTGCTATTAGTATTTTTACTGTTTGAATGTTGGGCTCAAAGAGACAATTCTGTTTACACTGACCTGCTCAGAGGGGGGAAACTGTTGGGCGAGTGTCATGTGCGACATCCGGAGGTAGCATTCGAGATGTGAGAAATACGCAAGTTTACATTACAGTAATGGCTCTCAAGAATCAATACCTCTCGAGAATCTCTCGAAATTCTCCTTAAAGGGATATTTCGGGATTTTGGCAATGACCCTTTATCTACTTCCCCAGAGTCAGATGAACTCGTGGATGCCTTGTTTGTGTCTCTTTGACCAGTATGAAGGAAGTTAGAGGTAGTTTCACGATTCAATCCTAACTAGCATTAGCGCAATGGCTGATACCCATAGACTTCCAGCCATTGCGTTAACGCTAGTTAGCAATTGCGCTAGCGCTAGTTAGCAACTTCCTTCATACTGCACGCAGAGACATAAAAATGGTATCCACAAGTTCATCTGACTCTGGGGAAGTAGATAACATCCTGAAGTATCCCTTTAATTCTCAGTCAATGAGAATAGACCCTTTAACTGTAGCCATAGGAGCAATAATCAGAATACAGGGTCAATCATTCATATCACAAATTATATGCATTGCTATAACTGTCGTTATTGTATGTATGGACAAAATATCTGCTTTCTCCCAAACTTTTATGCTGATTATTTACTATTTGTCTTGTTCTGACTTAAACAGTAGGCTAACTGTAATTATGATATGTTCTAATTTTATGTTAATCAAGCAAAGAAAACACGTTTTCTATTTATTTATCTCTAAAGATCAATATTAGATTTTATTTAATGAAATATTCTAAACAAGTTTGAATGTTGGATTACTGGATTCATGTAGAGTGTAAACTGAGTACCCCATCAATATCATGCAATGCAATCTTACCTCTGAAGTGGTTCATGGGAATGGACTTGCTTCAATCCACTGCTTCGTTAGTTTCTTTGACTAGCAACCTTTGCTAATTTGCTAACCTTGTCAAATAAGCATACAGAAGCAGTGGATTGAAGCTACCTACTGCGCACACACTGGTTGAATCAACGTTGTTTCAACGTAATTCGTCAACGTATTGTGACGTGGACTCAACCGTGGAAAATACATTGGATTTGAAAGAAGTCACAAACCAGTACTGTTTTCATCTAATTTCAACCAGTGTTGCAAACATTGAAATTAGGGTAAAACTTCAACTTAAATACATTGACTTAACCGGACTAACAGGTTGTTACACCAATTTAATTTCTACATAATCATGAGAGCTATCTATACGTTGAAATTGCATTGAAAATGTCATAGAAACGTATAAAATAAATGTCATCCTATATTCAATATGTGCTGAGTATACCAAACATTAGGAACACCTTTCTAATATTGACTTGCACTCCCCCTTTTGTCCTCAGAACAGCCTCAATTCGTCAGGGCATGGACTCAACAAGGTGATGCAAGCGTTCCACAGGGATGCTGGCCCATGTTGATTCCAATGCATCCCACAGTTGTGTCAAGTTGGCTGGATGTCCTTTGGGTGGTGGACCATTCTTGAAACACACAGGAAACTGTTGAGCGTGAAAAACCCAGCAGGGTTGCAGTTCTTGACACAAACTGGTGCGCCTGGCACCTACTGCCATACCCCCTTCAAAGGCACTTAAATCTTATGTCTTGCCCATTCACCCTCTGAAGGGCACGCATACACAATCCACGTCTCAATTGTCTCAAGGCTTAGAAATCCTTCTTTAACCTGTCTCCTTTCCCTTCATCTACACTGATTGCAGTGGATTTAACAAGTGACATCAATAAGGCATCATAGCCTACTGGTATATGAGGAGTAATGCACTTCAGTGAGAACGAGTCAATCATGCCAGATGCCTACCTCTTTGCACCCTGCTTAGCTTTGGAAACAAGGTGTGTTTGTTTCACCTGAGCTACCATGTCAACACATTTAGACATTGACCAGCTTCCATACTCATTTGCATAGACTACCTAAATACCATTGAATAGTTGAAAGTAACTCCTCTTACACAAGCGGTATGTGAAAGTACATTCGGAGTGAGGTGGGTTTATGTAGGCTACATTGACATCTGATTTGCCCAAAGGACACCATCATTTTAATGTGAAGCTAGGTATACTATCATTCATTCATGGTTGATTGGATCTTTGGAAGATTATAAGTAGTTACCATTAGCCTTATAAATAGGATGCCAAATTCATTATATTAATAATACACTTTTACCTTTGGATATTATTTTGTATATGAAGGATGGTTGGTTGATTTCAAATGTAATCTGTTAATATATAATATAATATGTTAGATTCACGTCTCCCATGTCAACCAAAAATCGAAGTTGAAAAATACGCAACCAAATATCAAGTATCAACATTTGAAGGAGCACTTGCACATCCTGAACCAACACTTGCACTTGACCCCCCCCTTTCTAGCTCTGACTTTGCTGATACCTACTTTATTGAGGAAAAGTGTACTTACTATGCCTGTGATACTGTATGTGGTTGTCCCACCTAGCTATCTTAATATGAATGCGCTAACTGTAAGTTGCTCTGGATAAGAGCATCTGCTAAATGACTAAAATGTAAAAAAATTATATATTATGAATAACATATATAAAAGACAATGTCCAAAGGTAAAAGTGCATTATTAGTATAATGAATTTGGCATCCTATTTATAGGGCTAATGGTAACTACTTCTAAACTTTCAAAGATGCAATCAACCTTAGACGAATGATAGTATACCTAGCTTCACGTTGAAATGATGGTGTCCTTTGGGCAAATCAGATGTTAATGTAGCCTACGTAAACCCAACTTCACTCCGAATTTACATTCATAATCAGCTTGTGTGAGAAAAGTTAGAGGAGTTATGAAAAAATAAAAAATTATGTATGCACTCACTAACTGTAAGTCGCTCTGGATAAGAGCGTCTGCTAAATGACTAAAATGTAAAATGTAAATGTAAATGTTATTTAGTTATTTGGGCCTAGGTAGTCTACACAAATTAGTATGGAATCAATGTCTAAATGTGTTGACGTGATAGCTCAGCTGGATCGAACACATCTTGGTTCCGAAGCTAAGCAGGATACATAGTGGTAGGCATCTGGATGATGGACTTATTCTCACTCAAGTGCATTACCCCTCATATAACAGTAGGAGTTGATGTTCAGGCAGGAATCGTTGGACGATAGCTTCACATTTTATTTCAATATACCTCTTTATTTAGGATGATAGCATGACGTTGAAACAATGACGTTGATTCAAACATACCATTTTACTATCAACATTGAAACAAGGTCAAATAAAATGTCTAATCAAATATGAAATTCAACAAAATATTTTCTATGTTTTCAACATAATTTTAACATTTACATAGTTCTGATGATTATGTTGAAATTAGATTGATGTAACAACCTGTCAGGTGAAGTCAATGTATTTAGGTTGGAAGTTTTACCCTAATTTCAATGTTTAAAACAGTGGTTGAAATTAGATGAAAACAGTACTGGTTGATGACATTCTTCAAATGGATTTTCCACGTTGATTCCACATCATAATACGTTGACAAATTACGTTGATTTAACCAGTGTGTGCCCAGTGGGTAGTCTCTCTTCCATAAAATCATTAAGAGGTAAGACAAAATATGAAGCAAGGCTGAGATAGTGGTGAAATATTGCTTTAAGGCATTTATTAGGCCTAGTTAATGAAGCACATTCTTCTGTATCGTTCTTTGATGATTCAACACCGCCAAACACTACTTTCTAATATTATTATGGAGAACTTAACTTTCCCTTCCGAAATTGATTTTACAGTCCAATAAAAGGACTAGGAGCTTTTTAATCTAAGTCAAGTTACAATGTAAATCACATTTTCATGGTGCTTAAACTTCCAGATATATATTATATTATGCTAAGTAAAATACATAAGCTTAATGTTTTATTCATCTAGACAACACTAGATGATGTCTGAGAGATGTGAATGTACTGTAATAAGGTCTGGTTGGTTTAACATCCATACCTCATTTTGGATGTATAAAGAAAGAAGGCGCTATATACCATGTATTCATTCAGCTTTCTGTAGTAAATATAGCAAGAACTTGCTGAAATACAATATTGAAATAAAATACTTGAATTGGCCTTTTTACTTGTTCATTTACTTTATTTATTTTAACTTGTTCAAGCACATTATTTAATTTTTTCCCCAATTCTTTACCATTATTGGTCTCTCACCCCCTAACAAATCCTGCTAACTTGGTCTATACAGTTTTGTCTCAACAGAAGAAATATACACTGATTTTATATAACCTGCCATTCACCTTTTGTTTTTAGCTTTTGTGAGTAGAATGTTTGGTTGGTGTGACTGCTGTTTTATCGTAACCATTTCTGGGTTCCACGTAGGGCTCTGGTCAAACGTATTGCACTATACAGGGAATAGCAGGCCATTTGGGATGCAACCCACATCTGCTAGAAACCCAACCCATGGCACAGGGGGCCAACCCTGCAGATTATCCTGGACGATCAAAGCTGTACAAACCAATTGTCATCATGTTCCTCCGGAGGGGATTCTCAAGTACATTAATGCTCCTTCTCAGGGAAATAATTGTGCCACTCTGCGACTTCATTAGGTCTGCTGGCTGTTTCAAAAGATGTTCTCTGCGGAGGTTGGGAGCCACGTCACGGGCAGACGGCGTCCCAAGGGGCCCCATGAATAAAAAACAGAGAGATTATAATGAGATTGTGCCAGCCATGACCAGGAGTGGGGTTTTTATTATTTCAATGGCAACCAGGAGAGAGAGAGGGGGAGAGAGAGGAGGAGGAGAGAGAGGAGGAGGAGAGGAACATAAAGAAATGTGTTATGGTGGTAGGAGCCACACTGGCCATCTGCCATAGTGGTGCGGTGATAGCTAGCAGCAGACCAGAGCATTAGGGCCTGAGAATCAACATCAACCCCATATTCCCCTGTACCACATGGAGTACAGAGAGAGAGAGAGAGAGAGAGAGAGAGAGAGAGAGAGAGAGAGAGAGAGAGAGAGAGAGAGATAGAGAGAGAGAGAGATAGAGAGAGAGAGAGATTAGCTCTTCTCTCTATATCGATAGCGCTCAGATCGCTCTCTCCTCATCCTCTCTCGCTCTCTCTCTCGCTCTCTCTCTCTCTCTCTCTCTCGTTCTCTCTCTGCTCCGTCTGCTCTTCTCTCTCTCTCGCTCTCTTCTCCTCTCATCTCTCTCTCTATCTCTCTCCTCTCTCTCTCTCAGAGAGAGAGAGAGAGGGACTAGCTGCATTTAATCAGAACCAGTGAATGGTAATGAGTTAGCATTGTAAAATGAGAGAATAGCAACAGCGTTTGCCTTGAATCATCATTGTATTTTATTTGTTAATGTTAATCTGTACAGAAAGTAAGAGCTGAGCAACTAGACAAATTGTTTCATATTAATAGGAGCGCTTTAGGAAGTCAGAAAAAAAAACTCTGGCGCATTGAGTGTCTGTAAAACTGTGTGATACTGCAGTAGTCTAAAGAAAAGCTCCCAGCCACCCAGAGAAGGTTAGTGTGTGTTAAGGTGTTATGGTACAGACTAGTGATGCGCGGGTTGACTCATAACCAGCAGTCCCTGCGGTTATATACGCGGGGTGGGCGGATTTAATAAAGAAAAACCATTATACGCAGAGTGTCAGGAAGCAGGTGCAGAAGGTGAGTTTAATAATAAACATGAAGATAATACAAAACAGGAGAAGCGTACTGAACGTCACCAAAACCAATACTGCCTGATGACTGAGGCTACTGAGGGCTATATGAAGGAGCAGCGTACTGAACATCACCAAAACCAATGCTGCCTGATGACATAGGCTACTGAGGGCTATATGAAGGAGTGATTCAGTGAATTTTGGGCGTACTCCACCCAGGGAAGGAACCGGGCCCATTCCCCCTGCCGGTCCTGGCAGTAACTCCTAAGGAACCTCCCCAGCTCTTGGTTCATTCTTTCCACCCGCCCGTTGGACTGAGGCCGGTACCCGGAATTGAGAAGGACCATCAGCTTCTCCATAAAGGCGCTCCATACCCGTGACATTAATTGGGGGCCACGGTCGGAGATGATGTCCTCCGGAAGGCCATAGTGCTGGAAGACCTGCTGGAACAGTGCCTCAACGACCTGGAGAGCGGTAGGAAGACGAGAGAGAGGAATAAAACGGCAGGATTTAGAGAATCTGTCCACAACAACCATAATAGTAGTGAAACCATCAGAAGAGGGAAGATCAGTGACGAAATCAATGGACAGATGAGACCAAGGCCGCTGAAGCACGGGAAGGGGAAGGAGTTTCCCTGCTGGAGTGTGCCGGGGAGATTTAGTTTGGGCACTTACGGAGCAGGAGTTGACGTAGCGAGCAACATCCTGCGCCAAGGTGGGCCACTAGTACTTTCCGGATATTGAATAGTGCGGGTGATACCTGGGTGTCCAGCGACGAGAGATGTGTGCACCCAGGTCAACAGCCAATCCCTTACCTCCGTGGGAACGTAGGTGCGCTCCGGAGGGCAGGTAGCAGGCATGGGTTCCCTCTCCAGACCCTGGCGGATCTCCACGTCTACGTCCCAAAGCACGGGGGCAACGATTCGGGAGGGCGGTATGATGGGCGCACTCAGGACAGGAACCTCTCCCGAATCATGGAGACGGGACAGGGTATCGGCTTTGATGTTCTTTGAACCTGGGCGGTATTACAGGGTGAAGTTGAATCTAGTGAAGAAAAGGGACCACCTTGCTTGGCATGGGTTCAGCTGCCTCGCTGTCCGTGTGTACTCCAGGTTCTGATGGTCGGTGAGGATGAGAAACGGATTATTGGCGCCCTCCAGCCAGTGTCTCCACTCCTCTAATGCCAACTTCACTGCCAGGAGCTCACTGTCGCCGACCTCAAAGTTCCTTTCTGCAGGAGACTTTTGTAGAGTAGTATGCTCATGGATACAATTTTTGTGGATTACCTTGACGTTGTGACAGGACGGCCCCCATGCCCACTTCTGAGGCATTCACCTCCACCACGAAGGGCAGCGTAGGATCTGGGTGTTTCAGCAATGGGGCAGAGGTGAAACGCCCCTTCAGTAGTCAGAAGGCCTCATCGGCTTCAGGACTCCACACCAACTTACGGGGACCACCTTTGAGGAGAGAGGTGAGAGGAGAGGCGATGGAGCTGAAATTTTTAATGAAGCGGCGGTAGAAGTTGGCAAACCCCAAAAACCGTTGTAGTCTCTTTATGGTGGTTGGGACTGGTCATGACTTCTGTAGTCGATGCACAGACCTCCCTCTTTCTTGGCCACGAAGAAAAGCCTGCCAATGCAGGGGAGGTGGATGTGCGGATGAAACTATGTTGGAGAGCTTCCTGTATGTACTCCTCCATGGCCTTGGTTTCAGCCACCGACAGGGGGTAGACGCGGCTGTGCAAAGGCACAGAGTCTGCTAGCAGGTCAATGGCACGGTCCCAGGGGCGATGAGGAGGGAGACAGGTGGCGCGGGTCTTGGAGAAAACCTCCCGGAGTTCCTGGTAAACCTCTGGGATGTTGGGCTGGAAGACAACCACAGGACTCTCAACCGACGTGGAACCACATGGTAAGGGAAAGCGGGTCTTCCGAGATCCGGGTGCCCAGGCAGTGATCTCCATCCTCGACCAGGAGATGATGGGGTAGGCCGAGGATGACTTTACGGGTGCCTCGGGTGCCTCAGTGATGAGGAATGGAAGGCTTTCTTGGTGCAGGGGTCCCACTGTGATGGTGAGTGGTGCTGTGATGTGCGTGATGTCACGGATCCCAATGGTCGATTATCCAAAGCTTGGACTGGAAAAGGAGAGGAGAGTGGGTACGAGGTGATCTTCAGGGAGGAGGCGAGGGCCTGGTCGATGAAATTCCACTAGAGCTGTGGAGACAATACATGAGGGACAGCCAGCCAGTGAAATGGAAACCAGGAAGGGTTTGGCGGAAAGCTATGATGATGGAAAACTCATGCCTACCCCAGGATATGGATCATCACGGGGCCGTCCCTCTGTCCCTGTGGACCCCGGGTTGGCTGCAATAGGAACACAGCCCCAGCCATCTCCGGCAACGCCACTCTGCCGCAGAGAGGTGTGTGGCCCCTACCTCCATGGGTTCAGGATCTGTTTCAGGACGGCAACAGGAGGAAGGCAAGAGACGAGAAGGGTGCCAGCGCTCTCGAAGAAGGTTATCCAGATGGATGGCCATCGATATGAGCGCGTCCAAGGAAAGGTTGTCGTCCTGACATGCCAGCTCTGTCTGGACCTCTTCGCGCAGTCCTCTTCGGAATAAGGTGTGGAGTGCCGGCTCATTCCATCCACTGGAGGCTACCACTGTCCAGAAGGTGAGGGCATACTCCGCAGCGGTCTGGGCACCCTGCCGGAGTTGGAGTAGTCGCTCACCTCCTTCTCTGCCCTCAGGTGGAGAATCGAAGACCACCCTGAATATAGGAACCCAGCTCCTCCACTCCTCTCTCCCAGACGGCCGTAGCCCACTCCAAAGCCCGTCCGGTCAGCAGGGAAATTACTGTGGCAACCTTGGACCTCTCGGTGGTGGGGGATCCTGTCTGATGGGCGAAATAAAGAGAGTCAAACAGTGCAGCCATAATAAAAACAGTAGCTGCATTTGCATTTATTTAAGCTGTTTTCAAGTGACATTTACAGTGCATTCGGAAAGTATTCAGACCCCTTGATTTTCCCACATTTTGTTACGTTACAGCCTTATTAAAAAATAGATGAAATTGTTTTTTTTTCTTCTCATCAATCTACACACAATACCCCATAATGACAAAGCAAAAACAGGTTTATAAAAATGTT